GTGTTTCACATAAAACCTGGAGAGATTTGACTGCTCTCAAAGGGAAATATGGTAACAATGGGCCACCGTCCTCCCTTGGCCGCCTTCAAAAAAGGCAAAGAGAGAAGCAAGCTGGTACACCCAGTTAGGAGAAAGTTTGAAGAGCAGCCTTAATAGAGAGGGGAGGGAGCTAGATTGGACTAGGAATGAAGAGTGGAATTGAGGGTGTTAGGTGCAGGACAGGCTGGTCTGCAGGTCATGCCAAACAAAGTTAGCTGCAGGATGACCTGGCTTCTTAAACCCTCTGTCTGGTTGTTTATCACCTGTTTGCTTCAAGCCCAAATGCCCAAGCCCCCGCTCAAGGCTGAACACTTAACCCCCCTTGTGCCAACAAGGCAGCTTGCAGACCCAGAGACCCCATTAGATTTGGGCTATAAAAACTCCCTGTGCCTGTTCCTTCCCTTTATCATAAAGTTTGTTCAGACTCAGGTGGGTAAAAAATTTCTAATCAAGTTTTTATCAGCTTCTCCTCAGGAATTACCAACTCCTGGCTACTGATGATACCTCCAGTTGAGACCTATGCTGAATGGACTGACATCACCATGGATCTGTGATGGCAAGGAACCTTTGTTGATCTGGTTCCTGAAGTTATACCAGTCCTCTCTGCCCTCCTGTGGGGGCTCCTTACTTCCCTTCTTTCTGATTCTCCCACGCCGCCCCATCACAGCAGGAAGCAGCCAGAATGAGTCAACGTCCACTCTCATTTAATAACAAAGAGGGGGGAGTGTTGGGAGTCACCCTGGCTCCAAAGACTAACTTCCCCATCCCCCATGAAGAGCTATCCAGTGGTGAGCCCTGCTGGCTCACATGATCCTGCCGTCCAATGGTGAGCCCTGCTGGCTCACATGATCCTTACCCATCAATCAGACTAGCCCAGCTGGCTCACCTGATCCTTACCCACCAATAAAAAGCACCCCTGCCAACTGTCAAACCACCCCGGCTCCATAAATATGCAGAGCTGTTCCTCAATAAACGGGCATTTTCTCTGACGGCAAGCCTTGATTGTTCTTTCAGTCTTGGTGGGAATGTGCACACCACATGGCACCCTGTGGTGGAGGAGGTGAGAAGCAGAGAAGACAGAGAGTTGGTGTTTTTTTTTTTTTTTTTTTTGCAGTACTGGGAATTGAGTCCAGGGCCTCAGGCATGCTAGCCAACTACTCTACCATTGAGCCATGTCCCCCACTTTTTAAATTTTTAAAATTTCATTTAAAAAAAGCCTTTTTGTTATTTGCCAAAATTGTCTTCATAATTTTGATCCACTTCCCTCCTGAGTAGCTGGGATCACAGGTGTATGCCACTGTGCCCAACTCAAAAAAAACAAACAAAAAAACCCCAGAATTTTAAAAGGATTCCAATACATTAGTAAACCCCACATTTTTTGCTGAAAATAAAATTTGAAGTTTTGCACATATACTTTAAGTGAAAACATGACAAATTTTCTTGAGAGACATGAGAAGGACCTTATTAATAAATGAAGAGCCAAGGTACTTTGGAGTATGGTGGACATTGGAGTTTCCTCAAAACAATCTAGCATTCAATTACACTCTGATCAATATCCCATAGGGTTTCTTTGGGGGAATTTTACAATCTAATTATAATATTTATGTGGAAGGAAAAAGGCCATGAATAGTGAGGGCAGTGATGACGTGGGGAGTGAGAAGCCTTGTCTCAGTAGATACCAAACTCAATATGCTGCTCTTGTGGTTAGGTCAGGTGCCAGTGATTCAGGGATGCACTGTCTGACAGTGGAACACAGCAGGGTCCAGGGGGACCCATGTGGAAACCTCATGTTGTGGAGAGTGGTGATTTGAATCAGATCCTCTGACTCTCTCGTGGCTGTGTTTGCACTGGGAGCTGCCTGTGCATAGGTGCAACTCCAGATGCCCCAGTTGCTATGGTAACGTTGCCCTGAGAAGTCTCTGTGGCCAAGTACAGAGCTGTTATTAGTTGAGGCCTTAAGTTCAGCACCCAGGGATAGTGAATTCTGGGCAAACAAGATGGCCCTAACGTCTCGCCAGACTCGAGTCCTTCAGAACTTTACCTTTGATCATGAAACCTATACAATATAGACTTTCTGAAGTAGCTTCAGGTCAGCCAAGCCTCTCCAAGGCATAGCTTTCCCACTGGGACCCAGCTTTTTCTCCCTATGTGTGTCTGTTTGTGTTTTTCTTAATTCTTCATTGCCCACATGTTTCTGGTATTTCTTTAGTCAACAGTCGTGGCTCTAAGAGAGATGGGAGGTCATGGATCCAAAATGATCACCGTGGATCATTCAGGAAAGGCTGCACCATTCCGTCAGTTGTGTTGATATAAGTGATGATGAAAATGGAAAGGCCAGGTGGTGGTACACACTTGTGATCCCAGCAACTCAGGAGGTTGAAGCAGGAGGATCGAAAGTTTGAGGCCATCCTCAGCAATTTAATGAGGCCTTAAGCAACTTAGTAAGACCCTGTCTCAAAATAAAAAATATAAAGGGCTGGGGATGTGGCTCAGTGGTAAAGTACTTGGCTCAATCCCCAATACTAAAAAAAAAAAAAAAAAAAAAGAAAAAAGAAAGAAAGAAAAGAAAATGGAAAACATAACTCCTTCCTTATACTTTTTACATAAAAATTATTTCTAGCTAAATTAAAGTTCTAAAACAAAACAGCAATTGATTATGGACATAAAAAGTCCAAACTATGAGAGCAATTAAAATGTCTATTGAAGTTAAAATCAAAATGTCTGCACAAGGCACTATAAAAACTGAAAAGACCAATCATGTACTGGGAACTATTAACCAATATGAAATTAGTATCCAGAACACATGGTTTCCTAAGAAAGAAGAAAGACAAATCAACCAAGAAAATAGCCTAGTGGCTCCCTGTGGGGGAATGGAGAGAGATCCAAATAGAGGGGCCCTCAGGGCTGTGGTCTGTTGGGTGTTTATTGCTTAAGATGTGGTTTAGATACATGTAACTTGCTTTTGAGTTTTATAGGAGCTCACGTGAGTCTCAGAGGAGACTTTGTGCTTGGGCTTTGGGGCATTCTGGAACTGTTATGACCATGGGAACTCTTGGAGATGGGACTACATGCATTTTTTCATGGTGAGATAAATGTGCGTTTTGGGGGACCAAGGGTAGAATATTGTGGTTGCGTGTGAGGTGTCCCCTCAAAGCTTCTGTGTTAATGCAGGAATGTTTGGAGGTGAAATGACTGGATTGTGAGAGCTGTAACCCAATTGGTCCAGCCTAGTTTGAATTGACTGGCTGAGTGATAACTGTAGCCAGGTGGGACAAGGCTGGAGGAGGTATGCCCTGGAAGGGAGCATTTTCCCTGTGACCCCTTCCCCTGTCTCTACTTGTGGGCCACCATAAGGAGGACAGCTCTCCTTTTCAGCCCTTCTGCATGATGCTCCACCTCACTTGGGCCCAGAGCATTGGATTCAGCTGACCAAGGGCTGAACTTCTGAAACCATGTATCAGAGGAAACTTTTCCTCCTCTAAGTTGGTTTCCTAAGTAAGAAGAAAAACAAATCAACCAAGAAAATAGCCTAGTGGCATTCTGGAGACAGTGAAAGAAGACCGACTAACACCATCATAATCCCATTCCTGAGGGCTCCCTCATTTCCCAATGGTCCCACTTCTTAATACCTTCACCTTGGGGATTTGGTTTTAGCATATGAAAATGTAAGTTGTATGAGTCAGATTGGGTTGCCATAACAAAGTACCCCAAATTGGGTGGCCTAAAATGCCATGCCCTTTCTCCATGATGTTCTGCCTCACTTCAGATCCAAAGGAATGGAGTCAGCCAACCATGGACTGAGAACTCCAAAATCATAAGCCAAAATAAATCTTCCCTCCACAACATTGTTTTTCTTAGGTATTTGTCATAGCAACAAAAAGCTGACTAACCACAAAAACAGTTAATAGCAAGTGTGGGTGAGGGAGTGGGAAACTTGAACCCTTAAATAGTGCTGCTGAGAATGTAAAGTGTGTAGAAACTTTGGAAAAGTCTGTCAGTTCCTCTAAACTTCAAACACATCTGGGCCCAGTGATGCATGCCTGTAATACCAGCCGCTCAGGAAGATAAGGCAAAAGGACTTCAAGATCAAGGCCAGCCTGGGCAACGTAGTGAGACCCTCAGCAGCTTAGTGAAGCCCTGTCTGAAAATATAAAATAAAAAGGGCTGGGGTGTGGGTTAGTAGTAAAGAACCTCGGGTTCAACCCCACAAGAAGTTAAACAGAGTTACCATAGACCCTGCACTTGTCTCCCTAGAGGAATGTTTGTAACAGCACTATTCAAAATAGCCCCAAAGTGGAAATACCAAAGATACATACCCATTGATGAACTAACAATGTTTGATTCCCACTCAATGGATTATGATTTAGCCACACAGAGTGAAGTGCCTTGTGAGACCTTGAAAATATCAAACTTGGTGAAGGAGGTCATCACAAAATTCACCCCATGTCTGATGAAATGCCTGGAATAGCGAGGTCTGTAGGACAGAAAAGAGGTGAGTGGTTGCCAGGGGCTGGAGAGGGTGGGGAGGATTAGAGTCACTACTTAGGGTTGCTTTGGGGGTGACACAAATGTTCTGAAATTGGCAGGAGTGATGGAAGCACAACTCTGAAGGTACTAGAAATCACTGGAATGACTCACCCGGGTAAAAGATTTTATCTGATGTATAACAGCTCAGTGAGGCTGGAGGAAGAGAGCGACCCCACAGCGGGTCATAGATCATGTGAGCTGGCATGATAAAATACAGACGGCGGGCTCACTTATCATCATGAAAACGTACTTCCCCCGTTCTGCAGTTGGGAAGACCAAGATGAGCCCCTCATGACTTCTGTGTCTGGAGAGGGCTGATCTCTGTTTCCAGTGCTGCGCTTTGAGTGCCGCATCCTCTGGAGGAGATGGACTGACTGTCCCCACATGATAGAAGGGACAGACCTGCCCCCAAGGCCCCTTGGTAAGGCACCAACCTGTTCAAGGAGCAGAGCCCTCATGGCCTAGTCATCTCCTGGATGAGTTCATACTGCTGCACTGGGGGCCATTTCCAACAGGAATTTTGGAGTGGTCACAGATGTTCAAATTCTAACATGATACAAGAAAAAAAGAATTTAAAAAGGAATTACAATGTGGATCGAGGACTAACAATTTCAGCAAGTATGTCACAACATAATGGTGAAAGTAAAACAGAACTCCTGAAGTGGCTCTGAGCCTTTCAGAAACAATCTCTTTTTGCACTCTTCACCCCTGTCCTATGAGCAGTGATATCCAGGAGTGCAGAGCAGTTCCTAGACTTTAGGCTTTAATTCAGCTGTCTTTGGAAAATTACTGTTATCTTGGTTGGTAGAACAGGAAATCAAGGTGAGCCTGGGGTTCTTGCTGCCTGGGAGCAGGGATCCTTCAAAAGATGGATGTTAGTGGGACTCAGGAGACAGCCACAAGGAGCTTCCACTGCCTGAGCTTGAAGAGATAATAGTGACAGTTCATTAAGGCACTTTAGGCTGTGACAAAGCCATGAATCCACAATGATAATCAAATAAAACAAAGTTTTCTCTTTAATTTTCATACATCTAGCATTTTATTCAGGTTAATTTTATGAGAAAATTTTTGTTCATGTTTGAATGTATATAATGTATGTTTTTAAGATGGGTGAAAACCAATTTAAGTGCAAGTATTAGTTAACATAGGCACCGTCACCAAAAGATGTGAAAAGAATTTCATCCCTATTGTCTGTTCAGAATATTGACACACTTCACATGCTGAGTGTGAAGGAAGTGTGCAAATCTCAGAGAACCGGTAACAATCATAAGCTGGGAAAGAAGGGACACCCAAGAGGGCAGAAGAAAGAAGCATGCTAAGGTGTATCTTGGGGCAAATTTCTGGTCCCACTGGGACAGGGCTGGGCTTCTGGGAAACTGAAGCAGTGCAAACCCTGACTCTTGTCATCAAGTCAAAAAGATTTCACACGAGGCTCAGAGTAGAAGGGTTGGGAAAGGAGGACACTCTCAAGGGAGAGAGTGAGTGCTCTCAGAGGGGTGGGGGGCTGCATGCCTCTCCTACCCTCTACTTTTATTGGGAGCCCAGGGAAATTTTCAGAGTCCCACCCAACCCCACCTTCTGACTTTTGACTGACAGCAAAATCCAACAGATCATGGTGTGGTGCTCATAGTGTAGAAGCTTTTATGGAAACTGAATATTCCTGTTTTTGCCTAAAGTTCCTACCCCCTTAACCTACTCATTACCTTTGAATAGATCAGGCATTATGAGGGTCTTGATGTTTTGGCTAATAGGGCAATTGGAGAGCGATAAGGCAGGGTTCTGGAGACTTGGTTACAAGAGATAATGATGACATGGTCCAGAAATGGTAATGTTTCTTAAGTAAGGCAGGCATAGGTTTTAACATACAAGGACCCCCATAGGTGCTTATCTGTCAGATAAGGCTCCCTGTGGCTTTCAGTGGTCTCTTATTGTCCTTACTTGCTCACCCACTCATGGTTGAGTAGCTACCTTGTGGGATTCTCCGAGACAGGACAGGGCACTGGGTGTTCAGCAGGAAGCAGTGTTTATTAGTGCCAGCGGATTTGTATCCAAAAGCTGAGGACTCTTGTTAGTTCCTCTTTTACTTGCCAGCTCTTTGTCTCCCATATAAGGTCATACACAGTCTGGCTGGCATTCTATTTCTATGCAACAGTGTTTCTTTTAAAAAATTTTTTCATACATGAATGTAGTATAACTTTTCATTCTTGATGAAATGAAATGTATGATGTAGAGTTACTCAGATAGTGCAATCATATATACATATAGGGTATGATTAATTCTACTCATTCCTACCCCCATACTCCCCCCCCCCCCCCCCCCCCGTCTAATCCTAAGTGCTTCTATTTGTCCCTAGCCAACCCCTCTTATTATGAATGATTATCTGCATATCAGAGACAATGTTCAGTCTTTGGTTCTTCAGGACTGGCTTATTTTGGTTTAGCATAATATTCTCCAGTTCCACCCATTTACTGGCAAATGCCATAATTTCATTCTTCTTTATGGATGAGGAAAATTCCAATGTGTATATACACCACAATTTCTTCATCTGTTCATCTGTTGAAGGGCCCCTAGGTTGGTTCCATAGTTTAGCTATTGTGAATTGAGCTTGTGGAGGGTGCACATTGATACTGAGGGTGTATATCTTCTTTGTTCTGAGAAAGTCCCTACCGCAACCTAATACTGCCAAGGAGTACACTACTGCTGTGGGGCCTGAAAACTCTTCCCTGGGCTTCCAGAATTGCTTTGGACAGAGATTCTGCGTTTCCACTCCCTGCCTTTCTCCATGTGAGTATGACTGTGGTTATCCTTCACCATAGTGAGGTCAGCACCCACGTGTCGAGGACCACCTTTTTAGTCTGGTAGGTCTTGGGACGTGGAGGACCTGCCTCAGAGGAGCCACAGACAACCTAGGAGGGACCACGCCATTTCCGACTTCGGGCTTCATGCTGGCATCCGACGAGACTTTAAGGCATCTTGGGACACTGGGAAATAGCGGTTCATACTTAAAACATCGCTTCCAGTTTGAAGACGTCGAGTTTAAGGCGTCTTTGGCTTGATTTCGACTGTGGGAGGGGGAGTACCTTCGACTCTATGGCGACACCGAAGGCGACACCCACACCCGCGGCCCCATCCCGGGCGCTGGCACTAACTCGAACCAGCACCAAGTAGGTACCGGGCTCCCATCAAAGGTCCAGAATCGCCCTGTCGGTCTGGAGGAAAACCCCAGAACGCAGCAGGTCGGGCCAGCTGCGCGGAGAGGGGCGCGGGCTCATCACCACTGGGAAGGAGACCGCACCTACTGCGCACGCTCAAGAACGGGCGCTCGGGGATTACGTCAGCTCGCGGCGTCTGCGCGTGATGTAACTGGCCGGCGCCGGTAGAAAGGAGCGCCCTGCGGCACACGTGGGTGGCGGAGCGGCGGGCGGGCACATGGCGAGCTGCGCGGCGCTGGCGGTGTGCGGGCAGGCGCTGGTGGTGCGGGGCGGCAGCCGGTTCCTGGCCGTCTCCACTGCGAGCAGGTGAGGGAGTGGGCGGGGAGTGCGGGCGCGGCGGCCCTGGATACCCTACTTCCCGGCCTCCGTGGTCGCGTCCGCTGGGGGTGACTCCAGGAGCCCTGCCGCGGCCCGCGAGCCCACCGCAAGCCGACGTGGAGCCGCGGGCGCCGGGCGGCGTCGGACCTCGCGCACGCTTGCTTCCGGGTTCTGCTGCGGCTGCGCGGCCAGAGGGCGGGCCGGCCCGGGTCACGTGGGCGTGCGCGCCCGGGGCTTTAGTGCTGTGGTTCGGGTCTCCAGTGTCCTTTCCGGGGTGGGTTTGATTCTTTTATACTTGAAACGGACAGCCTGTCTGTAAAGTGTACGCTCTGCAGTTCGATGCCACATTTAGATTGCGCAAAAAGTTTGCACACGAACCTGTGACGTGTTCCAGTTAGTTTGGGGCTCAGAGCCCCAGATACGTGGCATTGTGAACCGACGGTGTGCCAGACACGACCCGCTGCTTAGCCTTTGGAGGAATCTTATTGACTGGCAGAGTTTTCGACTTTGAAGACAGTTTCTCTTTCTGCAGCAATGCAGTGTTCCATGAGAAAATCGTTTGGGTGCTGTCACTTTAAACGTTATCAGCATCTACAAGATCCCTTCTGTGTGCAGGGAGTGGGGGTGGTACCCAAGAAAGCTCAGGGTCTGGTAGGGAAGATGGGTGATTTCTATATTGGTAGGTGCTTCGGCGTCACTGCAGCTTTTTTCCGGTAGGAGACATTTTTCTGAACAAGTAATGGCTATTTTACATTTGGGTGCAAAATCACACTGAATAACTGCAGTATCAGAACACAATTCTTCCTTTAAAAAATATTTATTTTTTAGTTGTAGTTGGACACAATATCTTTATTTATTCACTTTTATGTGGTGCTGAGGATTGAACCCAGGGCCTCCCACATGGTACGTGAGCACTCTACCTACGGCAGAGCCACAACCCCAGCCCCACAATTTCTTCTTGTAATCACGTTTTGTTGATTTTCTAGTGCCTGAAAGAACAGTATATTAATTCTGGTTGAGTTTTTAACTTTGAGTGAATTGGTTGTTTTTTTTTTGGACAGAATCTTGTGGATTGTGTATGACATATCCAAACAGAAGGTTAAGCAAACAGAGCTCCTGAACTCTTTTGTGCTGTGTAGTACCAGTAGTTTTTTTTTTTTTTTCTCATTGATAAGACTCAGAATTTAATGAATATGCAAACGTACAAACTTTTTTGTTCCAAGGGTAAAAACACCTCAAACCCTGCATCTTTGTTAGAAGTGTTTATTATGTTTTTTTTTTTTTTTTTTTAGTGATGAAGACAGCCTCTTCACATATGATTGCAGTACCGCAGAAAAGAAGCCAGAAGAAAATAAAGGGTGAGGTGATGGGGAAGAGTGTTCAGGGCCTGATGGATTGAGTTGGGGGGGAACTATTAGATGAAGAAGTAATTGTTGTCTTGCTGAATTCTTAACTTCTGTCACCTGGTTTTGTGGATAAGCTTAAGTTTCACCTTAGGAAAGAAACATGAAATTAACTTTCAAGTTAGGTATTAAGGAAATTTAATTAGTTTCTGTCAGTATTGGTTCCTATGAAATAATAGTTTGAAATCTGTAGAGGTCATGTGCAGGACATTAATGTCACCTAATTCAAAGATAAGGAAAGCAGAGTGTGCAGTTGTTTTGCATGGTGGCTTTCTTTAGTTCACTCGGTCTTCTGGCTCAACTTGTCCTTAATTATTTTCAGTTTGATTTAACCGCTGTGTCTTGTCTTGGATTAGTCCATGTGTACGAGTGTGTGGGCTCTATGATCTCTGAGGGTCTTTCCAGTCCAGCTCTTTGGGTTCTAGCATGTTTGCTAAGAGACAGTCTAGTTAGTTAGATGTAACTATTGTAACAGTACAGCATTTTTTTTGAACCTTCTCATGTCCCTTTAATACGTCTTTATGTTCTGACTACATGAACCACTTAACTATTAGCATTTTCTGCCTCTGCCTGTTTTATAAATTGGCAAGGCTAGCCATCCAGGAATGCAATCTTATTTTCCTTTATTAGCTAGGATTCTGTTGCTGTAACAAATACTTGAAATTAATAGTCTATAAGGAGAAAAGGTTTATTTTAGTTCACAGTTTTTTAAGGTTCTAGCCTGAAAGCAGTTGGCCCTGTTGCTTTGGGCCTGTGCTGAGACAGCACTTTATGGCAGGAGCATATGGCAGAGCCAAACTATTCATGTTGTTGCCAGGAAGTGAAAGAGAGGAAGTGGCCAGGGTCCCACGTTCCCCTTAAAGGACATGCCCTCTGTTGATGTAAATACCTCCTACCTCTTTTTTCTTCTTTTTGAGACAGGATCTTGCTGTGTTGCCCAGACTAGCTTTGAACTTGAGCTGAAGCACCCTGTCTCAGCTCCCCGAGTACTGGGACTGTGGGCTTGGCAAGATCCTGTCTCTAAGGGCTACCACTCCCAGTAGCACCATGGTGGGACCGTGCCTTTAGCACCTGCTCCTCAGGTACCCTCGCCCAAATCCCAGCAAGGCTGACTGTTTCTTCCTTTTTCCCAGGGAGGATGGCCGGCCCATGGATCAGGGGAGTGACATGATTCTAGCGTCCACCTTCTCCACGTCTGGCAGCTATTTTGCTTTAACTGATGACAGTAAGCGTCTGATTCTTTTCCGTACAAAACCATGGCAATGTCTGAGTGTCAGGTATGAAATGTTAACGTCGAATCATTAAGATGTCTTATTCACACCTTGTTCTTGCATGTCAGTAGCAATAGTGACAGTTACCATAGTAATAAGCACCCAAGATGGCGTCCCAGCTGTGGGGTAGACACTGATCTAGGGATTTATGGTATTAACTGATAGGATCCTAGATTCCTGTGGGGTTGGCATGGTCTCGGTGGTGAGGATTGGCTGCTTTCAGGTCAGGAGGCTTGGCAGGGCTGTCCCTGCTGGTTCCTCCTGTGGCAGTGTTGCTGCCCCAGCTACTGTGCCATCCTACCTCCCACACAGTATTCCCCAGCCCTGGGTCTGCTAGAGGCAAAGGCTTTCAGCCGGGTCAGGGCTTCGAGTGAGTCCTGCTGGGCACTTGGGGCTGGGTGGGTCCAGAGCGGTCTTTCTGTTTGCTGGAAGAGAGGAAGGGGCCAGTGTAGCCTGTGCCCCAGGCAGGAGTGCGGTGTGCTCCCGTGCGCTCTCGCCAAGCCACTCCGGGAGCACCCTGCCTAAGTGCAGCTGTGCCCCTTCTTCAAAGCATCATTGCCACTTGTGAGGGGGTGACCCTGCAGTGCTGTGAATCTGCTTCCCAAGCCACCACTATTGTTTGCTGCCACTGTGTCCTTGTGAGAGGAGGTGGATGTCACTGGTGCATGGGCAGATCTCTGACTTCTCCTGGTGTCTGTTCTTGAGAGTGAGAGCTCTATCATTCTGCTTTTTCTGTGACTCACAAACACATGGACAGAGTCAGGCCTGGGCCCCTCCTTGTCCTCCCTGAGACTCCCTTGAGAATCAGAGGTAAACATGTAGGTTGTCATGCTTCAGCTACTAAGGTTCAGGGATTTCCCTTTGTAACTGGCTCATACCAAAATATTGGATTCAACATTTTTAGATATTTATTTTATCTGATTTTCTAAGGTAAGAGTAAGAAGCCATATTCCAGGTAGCATCAAAAGCAAGAGTATTCACCCTGCCCTCTTTTCTTGTCAGATTAAAACTATAGGCCTGTTGAATATTGCTTCATCGTTAGTGTTCACAGTGTGTGTTTTTGTGTGGCAGATGCACATTTTTATGTGTAGATGTACATAATTTGGAAATTTAACAACATATCAAAATTAAACAAAAGGATACCCAGATATCCAGTGATGTGCCAGGGTCCCTCATCTCCCTTCCCACAGAGTGACAGAGTGAAGTGTCTCCAGGTGAACACTGCGACCTGGCCGTGAGTCCCTCCCACGGGGCTCCTGCCGGCCTAGTGGGGCTTTGCAGCTGGCTGGTCTTGACTTTGGGTCTCTGACCACCTGTGGGGACCTGGGAGGCAAGGCAGAAGGTTGGTGTGCAGTCTGCTCGTGCTCCTTAGCAAGGTGACTCTCATCAGGCAGCTGAAACCATGGACGTTTGTTCTCCGTCCTGGAAGCTGGAGTTGGAGATCAAGGTGTCTCAGGGTTGGTCCTTCCTGGATCCCCTGGCCTGGTTTTCACATAGCTTCTTCCTGTGTCCTCACGCGGTCATCTGTCCTGTGTGTTTCTGTGTTTCGAGCTCCTATAAGGAGGCAGTCAGGTTGGAACAGGGCTCAGTTGAATCTGTATGGCTCTGTAAAGGCCCTACTCAAATAGAGGCACATTCTGAGGTACTGGGTAGGTCAGGGCTTCAACACAGGGGTGTGGGGGAAGGTTGAGCCCATAACAGTTGATCTTGTTTTCCTAATACTGACTGCTAAGTTTATTTGTGACCCCTACGGAGTCTCCAAGGGGCTTTGGTCTCAAAAAGATATTATAAATGAGATGATCTAAACAAGCCAAGGGCAGTTCTTTGGCTATGTAAGGGAGACGCTGTCACCTAGTCCTTGTGATCATGCAGGCTGGACATGCACTGGTCTGGGCTGGACCAGCTATGGTTTGCTTGTGTATGTATTTTTGCACTGGGGCTTTCATGAACGCAGGGCCTGGTGCATGCCAAGCCTGTGCTTTGTTGCTCAGCCAGTCTCCAGCCCCCAGTTTGATTTCAGGTGCTCCTGGGTGATGGCAGCACTGCCAGGCCACACTTTGAGCAGCAGGATGTTGTAGAGCTCAGATTGCCCCAACCCGCTGCCTCATAGACCTGGTGAATGGGCGAGCTATACCTAACTCCAGAGTCTAGAGCGCCGCTGGGGCCGGGGTTCAGGTTCAGAGCATTGCACTTGAGCATATTCAAGGCCCTGGGTTTGATTCCCAGCACCACACACAAGGAAGTGCCTTTGTTTCATCACAATGTGAGGAGCCCTGTTTCTGTTAGGAAACAGTTTTTTTCCTGGTGGTTTCAGTGAGTTTCCTGACAGAAGGTTCATTGGGCCTTTCGGCAGTGCTGGTGCGACGCAGGGTATGATATGCTGATAGCTGTGGGGACTGGATGGTGTCTTCAGTACACTTGCTTTGGTTGCTAAACTCAAAGGCCTGGCTTGAGAATTGGTGTGGATGTGTGATTCTTGAGCTGCCCTGTGGTTAGCACTGTCTGGGACCCTAGCAACATGGTCTCCCGAGCCCTGAGCTGTGATAAAGTTGTAGGCTTAATTGTGGAAGTGCAGAGTGAGTTCTTGATTCTGCCTGGCTCCCCTGGAATATAGGCTACCACATAGCTTTTACCATGTTTTCCCTTTGATTTTGGTTCATTCAGACAATTGGAAACCACAGAGAAGTGCAAGATGAGAACAGAAAGCGATCCCCTTGAGCTCAGCATTGGTGGCGTCCCTGTGCAGGAACACTGGTGTGCTCCTCCTGTTTCTCTCAAGTGCGAGGCTTGCACATGGTGTGCTGATGTGTTCAGCACGGGGTGGCTAGGGGCCCCTCTCTCCCCACACAGCCATATGGGGATGTGTCTTCCCTGCTGTTGGACCATACTCTGTGATGAAAGAGCCAGCGCCTGGGCCTCGCAGGGATCGGGCCACTCTGGGAGTCTGGGTCCCTGCACCTGTGTTGGGACAAGGATTCTCGAGGGGGGTTCCGTGTGACTGTGGGGCTGATAAGATGGGATAACTCAGGGGCAGGACTCCTGCAGTGCCAGTCAGTCCCGCGGGCAGTGTGTGGACCTCATTAGTGACGAGAACAAGGCCAGTCGTTCTTCATGCTGTTTGCAGTTGTCTGTGGAGAGGTGCTTTGGGTCTTCTTTTTGAAGTTAGTGTGTCAGTGATCCCTTAAAGACCGGATGAACTCTGAGGTTCTGAGGTGGGCAGTACTACCTTGGCAGAGCACACCAGTTGGCACCTGATCGTTTTTCCCTTTAATTACAGGTTTGCTTCTGGTTTTAAACTGACACCGGTGGGTGACTTTGTGTATGTAGGCATGAGGTGGTGTGGAGGGCAGATGGTGTGATGGATGCAGTGGGGACAGTGGGTGGCAAAGCCCAAGCTCTGCTGTGGACATGGGGCAGGTGCTAGCACTTGCCTGGGAGCTGGTGAGCCCTGGGTACCCTGTGCTGTGGCTTGGCGGCCTTGAGCCATTAAGGGCCTGGGGTCGCCCTCATATGGCTTCTTCTCTGGCATTCCCCTGAGCCCAGCACGAGGCACTTTGTCACCGTCTCTGGATGGAACTGTAGGGTGAATGGCCCTTTGGGGTGTGTGTGGTAGTGGACAGATGTGTAATCATTGCTACCTTCCTCCTAAGACCTACTGGCAGATTCTTCAGCTTTCTTCTTTTTAAATTCCTTTAAAATTCAGTGTTTGTGAATTTCCGGTGCTGGGTCTTTACCCTCTCTTTGTAGGTCTAAGGAGAGATTTCTGGGGCAAGGATGAGGATGGGAAGGGAGAGCAAGATGAGGTGGTTTCATCAGACAGTGGGAGCTACTGTGCGCTAAGACATGAGAGCGCAGAACCACATGCATGGAGTGAGCAGCTGACTGGTGTGCGGGGGCCAGTCCAGTCACACTGAGGGGGGTCTGCCTAGTGACATTTTATTGGGAGCACAGACCCTTCTGATGGATCCCCTCCTCAAAAAAAAAATGTCCATCTTTTTTTTTTTTTTTTTTTTGATGGTACTGAGTGCAAGTTGAATGTAACCTGTACATCCCTAACCCTTTCTATTTTATTTTGAGACAGCACCTAGCAAAGTCCCTCAGGTTGGCAGTGAACTTGCAATCCTCATGCTTCAGCTTCTTGAATAGCTGGAATGATAGGCGTGTGCTGCTGCTGTGCCTGGTAAAAATGCCTATCTTTAATGTATTTGAAGTGCAGTTTAAGTTTTGGGGTTCCACACACCTGCAGTTTATGTGCAGTTGACTGGCTGAGGTCATATGCTGCTGGGGGCTCAATTGAGTTGGGACCAGACTGTCACTCCCATGTTGGCATGCTGCTGCTTTCAGACTTACATTGGGGGTGTTTGAAGCAAAGCCAAGGTGGAAATTGTGGGCAACAGTGGTTCTTCTTCAGGTGGCAATTTAGAGTGACAGGAGATCAGAGGACCTGGGACCTGGGCAGATCAGGAGACCCTCTCCTGCCCTGGAACTGAGGCCAAGGAATTGAAGATGAGGGCATCGGGTGACACATGGTACCTTCAATTTTGACATGCACATTTGCTTTTTACTTTTTTTTGTCTTTTGTGTTTTATTTTTTAGTTATAGGTGGACACAACATCTTTATTTTTATGTGGTGCTGAGGATCGAACCCAGTGCCTCACGTATGCTAGGCAAGAGTGCTCTACCTCTGAGCCACAACCCGAGCCCTCTTTTGTATTCTTTGATGTGCATTTATGAACGTGAAATCACCTCATTCCAGAGAGTACCCATTAGAGATTGGTACTGGCACCCAGAGGGCAGAGCCCCAGGAAGTCACATCTGGGTTTGCTCTGCCTGCAGGTGTTGGGATGGTGGAGAGTCTGGTGGTTGGGAATGTGAGTTTGGGGAACTGGGGCCAGTGTGGGTATGGCATCTGAAGCCCTCGGAGCCCTGGCAGGGCCTGGGATGGCAGCTCTGGAGATAGGCTCAGGGCAGTGCCAGTTCAGGCTGAGCCAGGTTAGCTCTGAGAGACACTGCAGAGCCGAGCATTTGCTCTGTTGTGTAGGGCTCTAATAAGAATCCAATGACTCGGGGAAGGGGAAGTGCCCAGACCAGGCCCCGACAGGATCAGAAGGTTATTGGGGCCGCTGCCTCAGTTCTCTGGGGTCCTGGGAACTGGGATATTTAACATGGCGACATCTGTCCCATTGTGCCACCTAACTCCCTTGGAGTCTTAAGTCCACTCCCTGCAGCTGAGCTGCATCCTAGTCACTGTGGGGACAGACTTAACTGAGAGGCAGAGAGCTCCCAGCTGGCACAAGGCAGAGCATTCTGTGGAGCTGGGGGCTGCATCTGTGCCGCTGTCCTGGGGTGGAGACTCCTGGTAGGTGTGTCCTGGTGTCCAGGTAGGGCTTTGTTGGAGCTGCCTGCTTGGCTCCTTGTTGGCACAGTGCAGGCTGTTTGTTGACATTGTGGCTGTGCTCTGAGAGAGAATTTTGATTAATCCTGCCCCAGAGCCTAATTATCTTTCTGTTGTTCTTTGTTTCCTCTGTGTTTACCCCGCTACACCCCCCTTCTGCACCCCCCTTCTGCGGCTCCCTTCTGGAGGCCCAGCTGCAGGGAGCCTGTTTTGCTGGAGTTCGCCCTTCTGGGGCATGGGCTCAGCAGGGCGTGGGCTCAGCAGGGCGGGCTGTGATGAAGTGCAGGTGGAGCATGCTGTGGAGAGCAGCCTGTGCTGTGGGGGGTGGAACCCCAGATGCCTTGCCTGGAGAGTGATGGGCATCTTGCTACTCAGAGTGCTGACCCTGGTTAAGCAGAGGCTTGAATGTAGCTGCATCTCGTATAGAACCAGCTGGCAGATGTGGCAGGCCGTGGCAACCCAGATCAAAGGTTTTTATGAGTGTACTGAATTCAGTGCCAACTGAGTGGTGCCCCACCCGCTCCCGAGCTCCCTGCTGTACTATGGCCTTCCAGCCAGGGACTTGTGGGGACTCAGGGCCATTTTCGCTGCTGCCCTGTGTTGGGTGAGGGATGGTGCCCTGGCACCTGCAGGAGTGAGACACCCCTGCAATATGTGTGGGATGTAGCAGCACCAGCAGCTTTTCATGGAGGCTGTGGAGAACAGTGGGAGGTCAGATGGGCCCGTGGGTGTGGAGAGTCAAGGACCATGGGCCCCAGATGGTGGCCTTTGCTTTTGTCCCTGATAGTGGCCCTCTCATATTGGTGAAGCCCACCCACATTTCCTGCACAGGCATGGCAAAGGTTCTGGGGCCACAGGCAGTTTCCTCAGCATTACGTCACGACAGGTTTCAAACATACAGCTGAGCTGAGAGGACTTTACATCACATACTCCTGTATCTGCCACCCCGGTCTTATCACCAAGAATAATTTATTTCCTCCCTCCCTCCCTCCCTCCCTTCCTTCCTTTCGGAGTAGTTTTCTTTTTTTGATACCAGGGGTGGAACCCAGGAGTGCTTCACCAGTGAGCCACATCTCCAGTCCTTTTATGTTTTACTTTGAGTCAGGGTCTCGCTAAGTTGCTTAAGGCCTTGCTAAGTTGTTGAGGCTGGCTTTGAACTTTGCAATCTTGATCTTCCTGCCTCAGCCTCCCAAGCCACTGGGATTACAGGTGTGCACTTCCACATCTGGGCAGGAGCAATTTTCTTGAGGAAAAATTATTGAAGTAAAATTAGTCCAAGGCATGGGCTTTGTGTGTGCGTGCTGGGGAGGAACCCAGGGTCTGGTGCGTGCCAGGCAAGTGCTCTGCCACTGAGCTGCACTCAGCCTAGGGCACTGGCTGTGATGTGGTTCTCAGCATTGCTTTGTTATTTTGGCATCATCTTCCCTGGCTGGACGGGCACATGTGTTGCCATAGGCAACAGGGCACAGAGGCCCCTGACTTAGAATGGGATCACGTCCCAGTAAACTCCTTAGGCTGAAAATACATGTGTTACACCGAATCTATAGAGCATCCTGGGTTGGCCTCACCTGCTTTAAATGCTAAGGATGCTTTCCTGAGCCTATAGCTGGTAAAATCATGCACTGAAGCCTGGTTCTGCTGCAGGGTGTTGAACATCTTGTGTAAGGCATTGAATATTCTACAGAAGGAAACAAAGAGTGACTGTAGGGGTGTGCTTTCACACAGTTGTAAAGTGGACAGCTCCAAGCTGAACCAGGATAGCTGGGCCAGGGGCCGGCAGCATAGGTGTGAAGGCCTGCAGCTGAGCTGACCTGTGGCTGCTAACCCGTGTGTCTCTGCTCTTCAGGGTAGTGGTGAGGAGGTGCACAGCTCTGACCTTCACAGCCTCTGAGGAGAGGGTCTTGGTGGCCGACAAGTCTGGAGACGTTTACTCCTTCTCAGTGCTGGAGCCCCATGGAGGTGGCAGGCTGGAGCTCGGGCACCTGTCCATGCTGCTGGACGTGGTATGTAGGGGCACGCTGATTTGTTGTTCGCTCCAGCTGACGCCCTGGTAGGGCAGAGGCTGAAGGGTCTAAGGGGAGGAGCCGGGGCTCCCCCAGAGCAGGAGGAGCTTAGAATGGAATCGAGGTAGGTGGAGTGGTCAGCAGGATGGAAGGGGACCGGTGAGTTAGGAGAGGGTTGTGTGGTTCTAGACGTGAAGGACAGCTTCCTGGGGGACTCCAGCTTGGGATGACAGAGGGGAGGGAGGTGGGAAGCAGAGCAGCGCCATGTGCTCTGAGGCCTTCTCCCAGGACTCAGCCCCAACCTGGTGTTTCCCAGCCATCTGGAGAGTGGTGGAGCTGGGGTGGACCCAAGCAGGGACATTGCGGGAGGGTGTGAAGGGGCACTCACTAGGACTTGGTGACTAGTAGATGTGGGGACAGTTGAGAGGAAGGTAGGTGGTCTGGAAGTGGGAGGTTGTGGAGGTTGGGGTGGGTTGAATAAGGGTTGGGTTTGGATGTTCCAGGATTAATTGCCCTTGTCTGGGCTGAAGAAGAAGGGCTGGGGACACTGGAGACCCATGGGGGGCAGGGGGAGCCCCAGTGATTTCACAGAGGTGAGAGGAGGGGCAGGACCCCCTGTCTAGCTCCAGGCCTTGGTGGCTGGTGTGGGGCACAGTTTTATGCAGGCCTCAGAGGTGGCCTTCCATAGGGGACTAGTGGGAGAAGATCGGGGGTCCTGTGGTACTGCGGAGTGGCCAGCGAGTGTCTCTTTGTTCTCTGACCCCTGGTGACGCAAGGCTGTGAGTCCTGATGACCGCTTCGTGCTTACTGCTGACCGGGATGAGAAGATCCGCGTCAGCTGGGCCGCTGCACCACACAGCATTGAGGCCTTCTGCCTGGGGCACACAGAGTGAGTGCAGGGACCTCGGGCTTAAGGCAGATAAGTGGGGACCTGGTGGCAGAACAGCAGGGCCCCACACCTGGAACCACCGAAACCCCTTTGCCAAAGGAACGAGTTCTTCCTCGGCTGGCCCTGCCCAGCTCGTGGCTGTCCTGGCACTCACCCAGTGAGGGGGCCCATGGATGCCCAGAGCGAAGGGACGTGTGAGAGGCATTGACTGCCGCCTTGTGTGCTGTCCCTCACCCGGTGTCCACACTGCTGGTGAGGGGCCTTGTTTGGAGAGCTCTTTCCTTGGTCAGTGCCCATGTTGGCCATTAAGAGCTGGGTGTGTTAGGGGACGAGGACCAGCCTGTCTTGCCTTGGGTGGACCCAAGCAGGACATTGTGGGAGGGTGTGAAGGGGCACTCACTAGGACTTGGTACCATAGATGTGGGGACAGGTGAGAGGAAGGTAGGTGGTCTGGAAGGTGGGGGGGTTGTGGAGGTTGGGGTGGGTGGAATAGGGTTGGATTTGGAAGTTCCAGGATTAATTGGGGCACACAGAGTGAGTGCAGGCCAGAGGCTGGTTACAGTTTCATGAGAGGAAAGCATTTAGCTGACTGCCTGGATGGCTTGCGTTCTTTCTGTTGGACGGAGCCGTCCCGAGCTCTGTGGCCATGGGTAATTGTCACCCCATATTCCAGCATCCTCGTGGTGCCAGCCTGTAGTGCAGTGTGTGGTGTGCAGGAGCTGCTTGATGGATCTCGATGCGTTTTCAGTGCCTTAATAAGTGAACAGCAGTTGGCCTTGAGCTTGACTTCCAGCCCGTGGAAGCTAGTCCTGCTCTTTGCTGCTGAGTGCCTGTCGGACGCGTGTTGGTGGGACATGTGTGCCTGTGGGACGTGAGGGCCTGGGGGATGCGTGTTGGTGGGACGTGTGCATTGGGACATGAGTGCTTATGGGATGCATGCCAGTGGGCTTTTTCTTCTTGGAGGACCTGAGTCTAGGAACTGGGTTCCCTGGCAGATGGCGCCCCTGGGCCCAGGCCAGGGTGACACTTGGAGAGGCTTTGTCTGATGGGGACAAGGAAGCGCCTGGGAGCCCTTGCCCCAGCGATCACTGGAGGGCACTGCATTAGAGGTGGGGAAGAGCAGGGAGCTGTCGGCCTGTGTTTGCCAGCAGAGGGGCTTCCTGGCCAGCCAGGTCGCTCAGGGCCCCCAGTGGCTCTTTGGATGGGAGAGTGGCTGCCGCAGTGAGTCGTCTGCTGGTGCAGGGTGAGCATGGTGACTGGCCGGGCCGCCCAGGGTTCTGATCCCTGGCTGCTTATGTCGGGGACCCTCAGGGTCTGATCTGTGGTGTGGTTCTGCTGTCTGGCCCCCCAAGGGTGCAGGCATTTTGGGTAGAGGCAGGTGCTCAGGGAGCTGGTTGGGGTGCTGCCAGTCAGAGCCGCTGCAGAGGGACACGAGGTGGAGGTCGTTGCATTGTGGGACCCCGAAGGACATGGTGTCATGTTATGATGCCAGGGGCTATCACCTGGCTCTCCGCAGCACTGGCCAGTTCTTGGGGGCTGAGGGAGGGTTCCCTTCCTGAGGTGAAAGGTGGCCTCTCATCCCACTGTAGGTTTGTGAGCCGGATCCTCGTGGTGCCCAGCCATCCTGAGTTGCTGCTGTCCTCCTCAGGGGTGAGTGCCAGTGCTCAGCAGGTGCCCGCCACTGGCTGCTGCTTGGGGAAGGTGGAGAGCCATGGGAGCAGAGGAATTTGTCTCTGTCTGTGGTCCATGCATCCCTGCTCCCCCATGGTGTCCACTAGATGGCACTTGCTTTCTGCATCTTAAACTGCCCAGGGTTGCTCCTTGCCCACAGTCGCTCATTCGGGGCTGGGTGCAGTCTGTGGCACGTGTGGTGTGTGTGCCATCTGTGCATGTGTGTGTGTAGTCTGGTTGGTGTAGTGTGTGAGGTGTGTGTGTGGCTGTGGTGTGTGAGCATCTGCATGTGTGCACACCTGGCCCCAGCACAGCAGGTGTGGGTTAGGACCTCCCGGCACATGGCGTCTGGCTGCCTCGGATTCCTATCCCATCATGCTAATGTCTTCTGGACATTCACCTCTTTTTCTTTTTTGGTACTAAGGATTGAACCCAGGGGCACTTCAACACTGAGCCAATCCCCAGCCCTTTTTATTTTTATCTCGAGGTAGGGCCTTGATAAGTTGCTGAGGTTGGCTTTGAACTTGCAGTCTTCTTGCCTCAGCTTCCCAAGTGGTAGGAGACACCATACCCACAGTGCTGCTGGGACATTTGCATCTTTACAGAGAACCTTTAGCTCACAAGGGCAGCCCTGACCCCCTGACCACACCCAGCTGTCTTCAGTGTAACCCCCCATCCCCATCTCCCTCCCCGCCCAACACATGACTGGCTCTTGTGGAGCTGGAGGCCTGTTGCGACCCTGTCGGCTAAACTGTCTTTTTTTGCAGGACTGCACCCTGCGGCTCTGGGAGTACAGAAGTGGCCGCCAGCTGCAATGCTGTGACTTGGCCAGCCTGCAGGAGCCGGTGGAGCCTCAGGGCCCCAAGGTAGCTGCAGCACTGGTCTGGGTGATTGGGTGTGTGCAGGGCATCTCTCCAGGTGCCTGCATTGTGTGCAAAGAGTTATCTGTCAGACACATCTTTGCTGTCGGTGCCAGCGTTCTTCCAGTTTGGGAGAAATCGTGTACAGCGTTTCTGATTCTGAACACGTGCAGTCACATAGGTGGAAAACAAATTGTCTTACTTTGTGCATTCGTGCCGCAGTCTGGCTGGGCACAATCAGGAGCCACTTGTCAAAAGAAACTAACTTTATTTTTAGAACCACACACACCAAACAAAACAGCCTCTCAGGAAAAACCCTCAGAGCCTCAACTGCCACCACCGGCTTTCCACAAGCCTCTCTCTCCCACACAAGCTTCTCTCCCCCTCCCACAATCCTCCTGCTCTTGAGGCCGATTGGCTGGGTCACGTGGGCGGAGCCAAAAAAGTCCCCCAATGAGCAGCTCCGTGGTCTAAAAGGGCAGGGAAACAGCCCAATGAGCATCACCGCAGAGGAGCCAATCAGCTAGATGTTGCTGGGGCCGAGGAGCCAATCAGCTAGATGTTGCTGGGGCCGAGGAGCCAATCAGCTAGATGTTGCTGGGGCCGCTGTGAGCCAATCATCAGCCAGCAGCTGGAAGTTTGCTGGCAGCTGGAAGTTTGCTGGGGCCCCTTCGGCTGTGGCTCTCAACACATTCGGACAGCAAATTAGAGAAAAGCCTCTAGTCCCACTTGTAAGTGGAGAAGACGGTGGTGCTTAGTGAGGGCCCTCACCTCGGCTTCGTCTGGGCAGGACAGGTAGCCCACCACAGTGCTCTGTCCTTTATGGTGTGTCTTGGCACCTGGGCTGCACCCAGGCGCTCCCTGGGATGTAGATCACGTTCCCCACTGGGCCAGTTGCTCTGCGTGAGAACAGGGTGGCGTGGCCTCTGCCCTCTGCTCTGCTGGCCAGGAGAGTAGTAAGCCCTGTCCTCTGCTTTGCGAGCCTCGGGGTTCTGTGAGCCGCCTTTGTTTCTGTCGTCTCCTGTGCTGGGAAGAGTAGAGCCTGAGGGGCGGTGGTTGTGGAGTCGGGTCCCCCGCTCCTGCTCCCCTAGCTTTTGCAGCCATCCTTGGGCTTTGAAGGCATTGCACAGGCCTGCAGGGAGAAGCTCCTGCTGTCCCCTTGCTTGGAGTTGAGAGGACGGGGAGCCAGCTGTTCCTTCTTTCCCACTGATTTCCACAGTGTTCTGGGTGCCCACCGTGCCTTGCCTGGTGAGGCTGGGGACGCGGCACCGGGGCTCTGCCTTCCTGTGAGGAGTGTGCAGCCCGCGGGGCGGCACTGACTCAGAGCCGCTTTTCTCTGCAGAGGTTTGCCGCATCCAGGATTGCATTCTGGGCCCAGGAGAGCTGTGTGGCACTTCTGTGTGACAGGTAAGCCACAGTGGCTTCTCCGTCCCACAAGCCCATTAGGAGGGGAGGCAGATGGATTGCTCAGTGGTCCTGCCTGTGTCCTTGTGGAGGGGTGGGCAGTGCTGCTGGTGCAGCCCCGCCCCTTGAGCTCCCTGTGGCGCGAGGGTCCTGGAGCTCTTGGTGGGCTTTCCACCTTGGAGCTCACAGGTCACCGTGGCCTCTGTGGTCTCCAGTCACCGCCACTCAGCTGGTCCCAGTGGAGCCTGCCATGCTAGGGTGGAGACATCACAGACACTTGTGGAGCTAGGACAGGTCTTCTGGTGCTTTCTATGTTCTGTATTTCACCCTGTGACAAGTCTGGGGAGGCAGTCCTGGCTCATCTTGGGAATGAGGGTGTAGGTTTGGAGAGGCGGGAAGTACTGTCCAGAGCCCAGGCTTCTGTGTACGGCTCTGTGGGTGGGGTGGCCATCCCCATTCTTTGTTCTTTGTCCTGTGTTGGTTAGTGCTTGCTGTGTAAGAAGTTGCCCCAGAACTCAGGGGCATGGACAGCAAACGCCTGTCACCTCGCAGGTGCTCGGGTACCTCAGTTGGTGCTGCTGGTTGGGGCATCTCCCAGTGTTGGTCTTGAGGGTGGTGCTGCCGGGCGAGGGCTGAGCTGCAGCCGTGTCAGGCCCCACCGGCCTGCGGTGTGGTCATAACCATCCTCTCTCTCCTGGAAAGCCTCCCCGTGGTCCTCGTCTTCCATCTTGAGGCCAGCGGACAGCAGCTGGCGTTCAGACAGCAGTTGACTTTTCCACACCGGGTGTGGGATGTGGCGTTTGAGGAGACCCAGGGCCTGTGGGTTCTGCAGGACTGCCATGAAAGCCCCCTGGTGCTCTGGAGGCCTGTGCGTGGCCAGTGGCAGGTGAGACTGAGCAGCCTGTGTCCAGGGCCCTCTCTCCTGTAAGACTGGGGCTGTGGGGCAGCCATGATTTTCTCATTGCCCTGAGCCCTTTGAGCCTGATCATGTCTGAGTCCCAGGCTGTGTCCCAGGGTGAAGGGAGCAGAGGGCCAGCCCTGCTGTCCCCGCTATGGTGTGGGCATGTTCTTGGGACAGGGGTTGCCATCAGGGGTTTTCCCTGGGATTCCACATCCTGTCCCACACGTACTTCACTCATGAAGCTGGGATAGCATTGTCTGTGCCTTGTGTGTGCAGGCTCAGTTATTGCTGTTGGTGGGCACTTGGACACGTGGAGCCCCTGGGGCAGAGGACGGGGCGTGGGCAGTAGGCCTAGCCGCCTCCTTACCCTGTCATGCCAGGGACCGGGAGGAGGGGAATCATGTCCTTGGCAAACTCCACGCTTTGCCAAAGCCCCTGGCCTGTGCTGGAAGTGAGCCCGCAGGGGTCTTTGTCTGAAAGAAGCTGACTGGGAGGCCCAGTGCTGCCGGGTGGCCCGTCCGCACCCCGCCTAGGTCCTGCCTCACTGGCTTCACAGGGAGCTTCCTGGCCGCCTCCTTGCTGCCGCCGGTGTCTCCCACCTTCTTATTGGGGCCTTTGTCACCTCTAGTCTGTTCCTGAAAGTGCTGTGTTACAGAGGCTGGCCAGTCATCTCCGTGGACACTGGGCCATGTTGGAAGGTAAGAATCTGCAGGGGGTGCTCACTAGGCCCTAGACCAGAGTTCAGGACAGGCTCACTGCAGTGGACGCCACACGCAGGCAGGCTTCCGCACACCAGGCAGGTGTGGGGCAGCGCTGTGCTGACAGCAGGAGGCCCTGTGCTGGTGAAGAGGCTGCAGGCCGCTGGCCCATGCCTCTGCAGATGCAGCAGGGCGCTCAAGGCTGTGGGAGCCACGTTTGCTGGTTGGCCTGGGGCCCAGGTGTAGAGGACACTGCCACAGTGTTGGCCACCTCTGTCTGCCCCGAGGCGCAGAACCTGCTGCCTCACCTACCGGTGTTCCCTCATGCTTTTGTGGACCAGAGACTGAAGGTGGCCATGTCTGCAGGACTGTTCAGACCCAGCCTCTGTTGCTCAGAAGAAATCCTCCAAAATCAGTCTTTTCCAGTTGAAGTTCCTTATAGTCTAAAGGGTTTGAACTTAAACATGGCTTTGGAGGTATTTGTGTGGCAGTGCCCTGAAGTGTCCTCTCTGAAGCTTTGTGGGTGGCTTGTGTGCTGTCTCTCCACCTTTCCTTTGCTCTTTCCCATCCTGGCTGGAAGTTGAGGTGTGGACCCTGGCGTGGTCTGGATCTACTTTAGGAGCATCTTCAATGGGCCCTGTGGCTAACTGTGAGGGGACCCCCAGGCGCAGCTCAACGCCCAACACCTACTGCCCCCTTGCCCTCTCGTTGTTCAGGGGCCTTAGCTGGCTCAGTCCTGTCCTGCTGAGGATCACCTCACATGGACTCAGGCCAAAGCCTGCCATCACTTTCTAAGGTGTTCTGCAGACAAAAATGGCCTGTTTGCCGGGTAGGGGTGAGAGTGGTGTTGGGGAGGCCCACCTCGGCCTGAGCATCCCCAGAGCAGTGGTGTTGCCACAGGACGCTAGCAGCCATGCCTAGTGCAGGGTGAGGCAGAACAGCCACTGGTTACAGTCACTGAGTGCCCTGGGTGTCTCCTGGCCAGGAGAGACCATGCCTGCCAGGCTACATCTATGGCTTCCCTCAGGCCTCTGGACCACGGCAGGCCTTGGACATCTGTGGCTGCATAGCAGAGCATTCCACACTCGCCTCCCTAACACCATGTGTCCCAGTCGTCTTTCTGTGGGTCAGGGGCACAACTCAAGAGAGGCCTTGTAGGCTACAGTCAAGGAGCCGCTGTCTTGAGTCTGCCCCGACAGGCCCACCCTGCTCGCTTCCTTTCTGTGAGTGCAGTTGGGTTCTCACAGCTGGTGGCCCACCGTTCCCTGCCCTTTGGCCTTTGCCAGACAGCACACAGCCTGCAGGAAAGTGCCTTTGTGCCCTGGTTTCCCACGTCCATCCCTTTCCTTTTTGCCTCACTCTGTTAGAAGCATGTCCCCAGGGTACAGACACCAGGAGGCAGGCATCAAGGTGGCCCTTTCAGAATTCTGAGTTCTGGCTCTTTGCCTTCAACTGCCGAGTCCTGACCGGTGTCTGTTTTTGTCCCCATGACAGGCTCTGTTGGTGCTGCAGATGGCTTCCGCAGCCTGTACAAGGCCACCTTTGACAACATGACCTCCTACCTGAAGAAGAAGGAGGAGAGACTGCTGCAGCAGCTGGAGAAGCAGCAGCACCGGAAGAGCCCTCCGCCAGGGCCCCCTGCAGGGACCAAAAGGGCCCGCTCAGGGCCGGCAGCCTTGGGCTGCTGACCTCTGTCTTGGCGGGGCTCCCCACTGACAGTACAAGCAGCTCTTGGCCCAGCACCTCCCTTTAGAGGAAAGAGGTGGCAGCCAGGTCCCACTGGCTCAGTGGACAGTCTGTGGTCGCCAGGCTCTAGAGTGTCCTCACTGCTGGGTGCAGGCTCTTGCCTGGAGTCCGTTCCTCCCCGGTGAGGGGAAGCCATGCAGTGACAGCTGAGCTGCAGAGCCTGCACAGGGTGGTGGGAGTGTCTTGAGCACTGTGTCTTCCTTCTGGAGGAAATATACTACCCGTGGCGCTGGCGGCTACTTTCTTGCTGTGTCCTCAGTGCTGTCTGCCGGGTGCGTCTTCCTCCTGGGAAATCGGGCACAGCCTGGCTTTCTGCCCTCACAGTGCCTCCTCCTGGGTGCTGCCGTGCAGCTCCTCTGGGGTGCTGTCCCTGATTCACGTGTGCAGTAGCTGGGTGGTGAGTGGCTCTGCGCAGCGCAGCAGTGATGTGTCCCTGGGGGAGCTGGATGGCACTGGCACAGGAGGGGACTTTGTTGAAGGCGTCTGTGGATGTGGCCCTGGCGAGGACCTCATTTCACAGGGAAGTGATTGGTGACAGGTGTTTTTGTGCCTTTGACTTGGACTCTGCTCACTCTGTGGAGTGGCAGGGGGTTCTAATGAAGGGGAGCTTTTTGTGGCTTCCTGCAAGTGTGTGGGGCAGCGTGTGGAAGTCGTGTTTCTCAGTGCAGGTCGTGGCTGTGCCAGCCTGACCACTGAACCCAGCTTCTGCCCACTTTCCGTGATTCTGTCTCAGACCCAGGCCCAGCGTGTGTGGGTGAGGACGTGGCCATTTAAGCAGATTTCTGCTGTGCACCAGCAGTTACGGAGCTTTGGCTTCTCTCCCAGGGCCCTGGTGTCCTTGGACCCCAGCCTGGAAGCAGCAGTGTTGAGGAGGGGCTGCTGGGCGGAGGGGCCATGTCCTGTGTGCTGCAGGCCCTCTGAACAGGCCTGTCCTCAGTGGTGTGGAGTTCTTGGTGTAGGAGAAACTCAGGTTTGGTCTCCTTCATGCCGGTGTTTTGGGAACCCTCTGAGCTTGCAGCCTCCCTTCTCGCTGGCCCCCCACCTTTTACGTTTTATTTTGATTCAGGGTCTTGCCAGGTTTCTGAGGCTGGCCTCAGACTACGATCCTCCTGTCTCGGCTGTTAATACCTGGGCTCTGCTTGGTGCTGTGGCAGCAGGTGTGGTAGGACCAGGAGCGCTAGCGGACGATTCTCGCTCCCCTTGAGATCCTGTTTAAGTTGTATGTTTAAAAAATGAACTGGTTTGCTTCTTGGGAAACACCTTTCCTGTTCACCTGGCTCCTCCTCCGAGCCAGAGTAGACACGGTCCTCCGTCCACGTTGTTCCAGCCAGCGCTCCAGGTGGTGGCCAGGGCCCTTCGGTGTGTGGTGAGGAGGCTCACAGACACGGCTTCAGGGCAGGCTGCAGAGCCACGGGCATGGTGTGAGGAGAGGCCGCAGTCGGCGGGACCACCCGTCTTCCCAGTGCTCGCTCTAAATCACTCTTACCCTCACCAAGGTCATGCACGTAGGTGATGGGCCAAAGGGCACCTGTGGCCTGCTGTCTCCCCTCCCGTGCTTCCTGACCTTGTTTCTTTCTCCAGAGGCCATGGTGGTTGGTGGTATTCCCTGCCCGACACCCAAGTGACCCCCAGGGTCCACTCACTGGGTCACTCTCACAGAAGTTGCTGTACACACACTTGAGTGGCGCTGTCCACGTGCTCACGAGGATCCGAGTGCGCCTTTGCCCAGCGCTTGCTGCCTGGTTTCCAGGTGGGTGTGGCCACGTGCCCTCGTGGCACTGCCTTTCCCTCTCACGGGGCTGTCCACCTGGCCCCTTGGCCAGGAGTGGCTTCCAGCTGGACCTCATATCCTGTGGGGTCCTGTGCTTGCTCCCTGCCTTTAGGGCCCCTAATTCCTAGCAGACTGGGGGGCTACGCTCAGGTGCTCCCAGATGTCCCAGGAGTTTCTCCTGTGGAAGGTCGGCTGCACCCAGTGCACATGCTCTCTTTAACCCCTCACCTCACAGTAGCACCCCACCTACTGTGCCCTCCCCTGGTGCCTGCTTGCTGGGCTGCTCGCTCAGATCCTGCCCTGCCACCCGACCGCTGCTTCATCAGTGTCACTATTGTGTGAAGATTTGCCCTTACGCCCCCTCAGAATTTTATCTTTGTTTCATCGTTCCTATTTTTTTAAAAATTGTTTATCAGTGGATCTTTGTTTTATTTATTTTTTTTGTGTTGCTGAGGATCAAACCCAGTGCCTCACACATGGTAGACAAGTGCTCTGCCACTCAGCCCCAGCCCCAGCCCATTTCTGTTTTTTAGTTGGTATGTGTTTACTTTTGGGGACAACCCCTTTCATTGATTAAAAAAAAATGTGGTTATCATATTGAGCCCTGCACACTTGGCTTGTGTTTTCATTTTGACTGTGGAGTGTGTGGGGTGTACAACTGAAAAGTGTGCAGGAAACACAAATGCTGAGACCCCCATGTCCCCTCTGGTCACTGCCCTGACACGTACAAGGCCTGTGGCCGGTGGGTCATCCCCTTCTGCCGCTCTGATTTCTCTGCTGGCCCTCTCTGGGAGTCATCCACGGTGCCACAGTGGTCATGGGTTGTTCTTCCTGCTAGTTAAGTGTTGTGCTGGGTGCAGATGCTATGGTGTGTCCATTCTGTTGAGGGACGTTAGGACGGTTTCCCAGTTTAGTCTGGTGAAGTGCTGTGGTGCACGCTCTAGTACCTGTCATTTGGCACACATAAGCGTTTCCACTGGTATCTGTGGGAGATTGGTTCTAGGACCCCGTCCCCTGCCCACCAAAACCCCACAGTCTGTAGATGCACGAATCCTGTGTGTACGATGGTATTTGCACACAGCCCCACACGTCCTCCTGTGCCCAAGGCACCTTTACCTTACTCACAGTGCCCATGCAGTGCCCGTGTGGGTATGCAGTTGCTCTACCGTGTGGGTTGGGGAGCGACGATAGGCAGGACCCTGTGCAGGTGCGTTACTGGCAGTTACTCCCTACCACGTAGTTTTGAGTCCACACTGGCTGACCCTGTCTGCAGAGCCTGTGGGTGTGGAGGACGACTGCACCTAGGAGTGGACTCGCTGGCTGTGGTCACTCACGTGTGTGGTTTAGAAGACAATCCACCTGTGCTAGTTCACATCCTGACCACAGAACGTAGAGTCAGGTATGCTCACACTCAGCTTTTGAGGTTGACGATGCGAGATGGGCCTTGAAGTTCCGTGTGCTGAAGTGTTCTTTTACCAAAGCACAGATGTGGAATTATGGACTGGTGGGCGGAGCCCCGCGGAGTCTAGACTTGAGCTTGGGTTCTCTGCTGTGTCATTCAGTTTGGGTTACTCACCTGAGGGAAGTCAGCCTTGAGGTCACAAGGACACTCCAGTGGTCTACAAAGAGGTCTCTGTGTGAGGATTTGAGGCCCTTGCTGGCACCCAGCCGGGAGGCCACCGTTGGCAGGGGCTCCTGCGGTCTCCCACAGCCTGTCTCTGCCGTCCCCTGTGCACAGGCACGTGCTGTCCTGATTCCCTATGGCTTCTTTGGTGTGTGGGTCTTTGGAGGTGTGGCTTACCAGCCAGTCGTTTGGTTTCCCACTTCTCTCTGTTCTGTCTGCGTTATAAGCTCAGAGTGGGCCTCACCCCGTGCTTCTTTCAGACTCGGCAGCCTCGGAGGCTGGCCACGCTGGTCACTGCACGAGTGTGTGAGAGGAGGGTTCCCCTGTCTCGTCGCGGCTGGAGGCTTCTAGCAGCGGGAAGGTAGGATTGGCCACATCTGCCTGAAGAACGTGCTTGGCGCTTGGTGTGTTCACAGCTGTCAGTTACAGAAGCCTTGCTTACTGTCCTGGTCTGGGTTTGGATTTGGGTGCTGTTCCACCGTGTGAGCAGTTCTCCTGACACTGGGTGCACGCAGGCCTTGTGTGTCTGCTCACCCATCACGAAGCAGCCTGTGACTCGGCTCGGATGTCCTTCTGGAGTGCGTGTCCCCGCTGCAGCTCGCCTGTGCTTGCTCAGCGGGGGTTTCCTTCTTTATCCCTTTACTTTCATGTCTGCGTATTTAATGTGGGTTTTTCCTGGTTTGGGTAAGTGCATTTTTCTTGTCCCCAATATTGGATTTCAGTGGAATGGCAATCTGAGCCACATATGAAATCTGCAACACTCCAGGACTCCCTGTGACAGCCTGACCACTCCCTGGCAGACCATGTCCCACCTGTGTGGTGACTCCTCGCTGGGGGACCTGGGCACTTCCTTTGACTTCGTCAGGAGAGGACACTGGAGGCCGTGTCTGGTTCCCCCAGGCTCTCCTTATGTGCCTTTCCCGCTGGCTGTTCCGCCTCGTTTCCCTGAAAGGCGCCGTGTGTGACTGTGAGGACCCTGTGAGTCCCAGCACCTCCCTGAGCCAGGTGGTCCAGGACTCTGACTCAGGCACACATTTTGCTTTTCTGGGTGTTTAGGACTTAGGACTCGTTTTGTTTCTTGTTTCCAGTGCTATCCCAGACCACAGGCATTGCCACACCTGGCGTTTAAGTTAGAATCACTTTTTTTTAAATGATTACATTTAGAAATTTATTTTTTAAAAATTTTAGTTGTAGATGGACCCAGTATCTTTATTTTTATTTATTTGTCTTTATGTGGTGCTGAGGATCGAACCCTGGGCCCCATGTGTGCAAGGCAAGCGCTCTACCACTGAGCTACAACCCCAGCCCAAGTTAGAATCTTTAAATGGAGTTTGAAATTCGACTTCTCTGTCACACTGGTGACTGCTGCCAAGTCGGATGGAGGACATTTTGATCATCATGGAAGGTTCTACTAGACAGCCATGTCTTAGTCTTTGACCTTTAAAGAGGGGGAAGTGGGGAGAATTCACACCCCCTCACATTGCCGTTCCCAGCGCCTGCCTTCCCCTTGCGTGGACCTGGGTCTCCCTGTCTGGGAGTGTTTTGTGTCTGTTGTGGTGCAGGTCAGCTGTTAGGAGTCTTCTTGACTTTTTTTTCTTTCTAAAAATACTTTGTCTAGGATGGTAAAGCCATTGAGGTGCTGGTGCTTCTACATGCACGGAAGGGCCGTGTCTCTGAGCCCGTGTCCTTGGGAGTGATTTGTGTGGCTGCGCTGTCCTGCTTCTCAGGGTTGCACCTGTGTGTGATTCTGGTCCCATGTGCTGTTTTCACGTGTAGAGTGGTGAGGTGTTGCCGCCGTCAAGATGCACAGCGGCTCGTCACAGGTCCCTGGTTCTGCCACAGGGCTGCG